GTGGAATGGGTTGAGTTGGAAAGGACCTTAAAACTCATCTTGTTCCACCCCCTGCCACGGGCAGGGACACCTTCCACTAGACCAAGTTGCTTCAAGCCCCGTCCAACTTGGCCTGGAACACTTCCAGGGATGGGGCAGCCACAGCTTCTCTGGGCAACCTGTGCCAGGGCCTCACCACCCACACAGGGGGGAATTTTTTCCACATATCTTAACCTAAATTTCCCCTTTCAGCTCGAAGCCGTTCCCCCTTCTTCTCTCACTCCAGGGCCTTGTCCAAAGTCCCTCCCCAGCTCTCTTGGAGCCTCATTAAGCACTGGAAAGGCTCTGAGGTCTCCCCAGAGAGACCTTCTCCAGGCTGAACAGCCCTGTCCTGCACACACCTCCTGCCCTACAAGGTGTCTCAGCTCATGCCCCGAACTGCCCCACACGATGCCCTGCTCTGGTGCCATCCCACCCCTCACAGGGTCCTGCCCACACACTGACCTGCCCCATTGGGTTGTGCCCTACAATGTCCCACCTGTCTCCCGTGGTGCCATGCTGCGTCCTGCCCTACACAGTGATATGTCCATGCCATGGCACCTGCTACTCCGGGACCTGGGAGCCTGGGGAAGCGCAGAGGCACCTTTCTGGATCCATGGGCCCCAGCTTCAGGTTGGGGAATAATTAAAGAGCAATATTTTAACACCAGCCACAGGTGGTCTCAGTCACTTTTCACCTGTCCCTGCGGCTCCAGCTCTGAGATTTAGGTCTGTTGAGTCCCATCCTGCCCTGGCAGCTACGCCTGGGGGCTGGGGTCACCCTGGGCTGGAGCACACAGCCCCCAGTTCCCTGGCAGGGACAGCAGCATCCCTGGCAGGCTCCTCTTCTCCTCCCTTCTCTGTGCACAGCATGGCTAAGCTGCAGGTGACAGCAGTGCTGCCTCTCAGGCAGGATGTCCCATCTCAAGGCAGGATCCTGAAGAAGACATTGCCACAGCACAAGTTCAAGTTTAGGCTCTGAGTGGGAAATGCTGTAGGTAACATCAGAAATATCTGCCTTGCTCGCACACTGCAGTGCAAGAATGAGTTGTGGTGGCCTTGTGCCCTGCTGTCTCCACAGGCAACATGGGACTGGCCCACAGCAAACCCAACACTTCTTCACCCCTTAGGAGACCTGACAGCCCCAGGCCAGTCTCATCTCACATGTTGTGACCTCAGCTTTGAGCACAACCACAAGCAAAGGGAAAAGGTGACAGCTCTTCTGGGACATTTGTCCCTTTCGCATATCTTTCACTTCAGTTTGGGGGAGCTCCACGGGCATGGCCATGAACTGGGCAGATGTGGCTGATGCTGTGGCAGCCCTGTGGCTCCCCGAGAAACATCCTCAAGCTCCAATCTTCTCTGCCACTGCTTAGCTTCCCTTCTTTCCATGTCCCCATGCCCGTGGGGACCCAGCATCACCGATCAAACCCATATTCCTCAGGTCACAGACATGCTGCAGGAGATCACCACCACCATCTGCTCCCTGAAAACCGCTGTTGAAGGCTTCCAGCTGCAGCTCCTGAAGGATAATTTCCAGGAGTTGCATGCACAGAGCTGGGACAGTTACTGTAGGGCTGTTTGCAGAGTGGTTGGGCTCCCTGGGGACCTGCATGGATAGCAAGGGTGCATGGGGCAATAGAAATGAGGAACTTTGGCAAATCCTTATGGAAAATGCACTGAAGCCTCCCAGGGGCTGCCCTGGCTGCAGTGACCTGCCTGGGTGAGCAATTAGACTTGCAAGGTTCTTCTGGCAGAGTCTGTGTCACCCTCCCAGCCACTGGAGCAGACATCCATCCCTGGGTATCCTACTGTCCCAGTTACCCCACTGCTCTTGTTGCTCCTGCAATGCCAGGAGGATTTTGCCCTCTAGATTTTGAGGTCCTGGGAGACCCACAGGGCTGGAAATGGCACTGTGGTGGCAAGGTTTGGAGTCCCTCTACCCATCCCAGGGGCTGCCCAGGCTCTCCCCTCCTGGACCAGGGTGGAAGGGCTGATTTCTCTCCCAGGCACAGGTGGAGGTGCATCGGGAGCTGCACTGGAACCCTCTCTGTGGGATGCCCACTGGTAAGGTGCTGCAGGCTCCCAGGTGCCAGGCTCCTTTGCTGGCAATGCCCTGGGATGGCTGGGGCTCTTCTCTCTCCCCAAAACCCCAGGGGCTGTTTAGTTTCAGAAACTCTCTGGTTGGGAGCTCGGTCCTGAGGCCTCACAGGTACTGGCCCACAGAGCCCCAGGCAGGCTGGGCTGGCTGCTGGAGGAGCACGAGGCCACGGGGACCTGTGTCAGCCACCATGAGCACTGACATCTCTGTCACACCAGGCTGCCATGCCAGGCTGTGCCACCTTTGCCAGGTGAATGGCAGGGCCACACTCAGCCAGCCCATCCAGGTCCCCAAGCCACTGCAGCCCCCTTGTCCCTCTGCCCCGTGCCCTGGCATGGCTGTGCCCAGGGCCTGTCAGCAGTGCCAGGGGGTCTCCACGGCCGTAAAGCTGCCTGGGTTTGGGACAGTGCTGTGCTGGGGGCCTGCAGGAGTGAGCACTGTCTGGAGCAAAGCTTTGGTGTGTGTTTTTAGCTGTCTCAGGGACTTTGGAGGAGGTGGCTGCCTGTCTGGAGAAGGTGCTGTGTGAGATGAAGCACCTGCAGGATGGAGAAGGTGCCCATTCCATGCCCAAGTGCTGGGGGCTGCAACCCCACGTCCCACTTGTTGGGGACACACGGGGGCATCTCGCAGGATGTCCTCACTAGCCACTCTCTGGGGCCACCCATAAGCTCACCTCTCTGCCTTGCCCGGGTCCTGCAGCCTCCCTGTTTCACCCAGGGCTACGTGTCCTCCCCAGGGGATGGGTTTGGGCAGGGAGGTGCTGGGCCAGCTGCAGGAGCAGTGCACGAGGCTGCAGGAAGCTGTGGGGTGACACCAAGGACACCCAGGTGAGCACAGCCCCAGGCTCAGCTCAGGAGACACTTGTGCCATGGCTGGTGCCTGAACCAGGCTCAGTACAGGCTTGCCCAGACTTGGCACATCCCCACTCCAAAGCAGCTCAGCATGCCCGGATTTTGTGGCCATGCCATGCCGACAGAGCTGGGGATGAACAATGGTGGGCGGCTCCACGGAGGCAAAGGGGAGGGCTGGGGGAACACGTGGAGCCTGTGTGGGATGGTGGAGCACCCAGCCATGAACAAGGTGCTGCTGGAGCAGGGCTTGGGTGTCGTGAACAAGGCACATGGGGTGGTGGCAGGGCTGGGGCTCTGCAGGGGATGGCTGACTCCCTGTGCTAAGTGTCTGCTTCTCACATTGAAGCAATGAAGGCCCTCCAGCCCTGCTCCTGGCACATCCTCAGACACAACAGCAACTACGTTTTCCCATTCTCATGAGAATGTCTGTCCTGGGTGTGCCCTGGGCCACCAGCCCTGCCATGTGGGCTCAGCCTGCTTGTAAGCACTCCTTGAAGGGCTCCCAGGGATGTCATGCCCCATGTAAGGGCTGTTTGTCCTTCTGCATTGCTGCCATGTGGACAAAGACAGGCTCCTCGGGGGCTGGTGGCAAACTGCACAGGTGTCTGGGCTGGCACCCAGGTGTCATGCCTGGTGTAGTTTGCAGCCCCTGCAGCACCGTGAGCCCTCCCCATTTTACAGGGCTGTAAAATGTCATGGGGGGCTGGGGAGGGACAGGTGCACCAGGGCTGTGCTGCCAGGCCTCGGGGGACTGGTGGAATTGAAGTCACACTGCCCTGACAGCCACTCACTGTCATGGGCTAACACTAGGGACCGTAGAGATACTCTCTCCTATGTTGCCTCTCCTGTGCCATCCCTGGGGACTCAGCAACCAGAGTCTGACACTTTTGGGCTATGCCATGTCCCCATGAGCTCTCTCTACTCAGTCAGATGTCCAGGTCTCTGGTCTAGCACTTGATTTTCCAATCCTATGGCTCCTGGTGGCCCTGGGACAGTCACAAGCAGCTTCCCCTCCCCACCACCCAGGTCTCCATGTGGCTTCACCTGTGTTTCACAGGCAGTTGTCTCCCTTCTCTGTGTCCTCTGGGTGGGCTCTGTGCACACCCCCTGCCTCACAGACCACCCCCACTCCCAGAAGGACTCCACCCTGGCCTTGACGTGCTCAGGCCACCACAGCTGGGAAACAAGGTGCA